GCACGCAAATTGGCAAAGAATTGGAAATGTGTTATACAATGCGTGCAGAAATATGCTGCGGAACAGCGTATCGCTGCTGTCGCAAAAGACAAATTAAACAATGTATCTGTACCCGAGTCACCGCCTCCTCCTGGAGCGGCAGCGTTTGGAAGTGGGGAAATCCCGATGCCCCCTTCTGTGGCTAATTTTCAGATACCCCAAGTCCCCTGTTTGGCTGATTCTGTACGGATGAAGCCTTCCGCTCCCCCGGATCCAGGACCTTCTGGTTTGGATCCATTAAATGAGCAAACCTTAAAAGATGCCAAGGCTCGAAGCGGTGATAAGACCTCACGACGTGAGGGAGTAAATGGGGAAGCTATCTATAAAGAGGCTATTCAAAGTGAGGATTATGAAGGACCTAGAGATCTCAGCAAAACAAGTGCCTTTCCTGTAATATATACACCTGATGCACAAGGCAACTCTGATGTAACCATAATGCCCTTAAATTGGAAAATTTTGAATCAACCTCGACAAACTGTGACAGAATCTGGCTTACAGTCCGAGCTCGCAAGACAAATGTTAGGTTATATTTGGGGCTCAGGCTTGTTGCTTATTGAGGACATAAAGAGCATTGTCAAATTAATATTGACTCCTTCGCAGATGTTGTTGTGGCAGATGTATTGGCAGGAAGAATGTCAGGAAGTATGCAATGTGCAAAGAGATCCTAGAGACCCTTTGGTAGGAGTAACCCTAGAACACCTTATGGGGATAGGTGCATAGTCTAGTAAGGAAGCGCAAGCTGATATGGGACCAAATCTGCTTAAAGAATCAATGCAAACAGCTATGACAGCATTGTTACGAATTAAAGAGACAAATACAGATCCAGCTTATATGAAAATCACACAGGGCAAAGATGAGCCATTTGACACATTCTTAGACCGTATTGCAAATGCAATTTCAAAAGCTCATAATTTACCCTAGCATATGAAAGGTGCACTTTTAAGACAGTGTGCGCTGCAAAATTGTAATGCTGCCACAAAACAGGTTTTGATACAGCTGCCGGCAGACGCGTCTATAGCACAAATGCTGGAGCGAATGTCTCGTGTACCCGTAGGACACCAGGCATTGCTAGTAGAGGCAGCTCAATCTTTAGGTGATAAGGTATTGGCAGCTTTGACACCACTGCAGAAACCAGGTCGAAATTCTGTCCCCAAGGGGAACGGTCCACGCTGCTTTTGCTGTGGACAGAATGGGCATACACGAAGGGAATGCTCCGCAACGACCTGGCACAGCATCACAGAAGCCTCCTCGGCGTAAGGGGGAAGATAAAGTGAGACGGCGCTCGCATGCAAAAGTACAAGTAGAAAGTGCAAACGTAGTCACCTTTGACCCAGAGGAGGAAGACCCCGAATCGGAATTGGAACCAGACCCAGAAACTCCAACAGAACCGGACTTGCACCCTTCCCTTCCTGATCCCAACTCAGACGGTTCAGACAGTTTGGTTCATCGGCAGATGCGAACCAGCCTCAGTGACGGTCAACTGTGACAGCTGCTGAAGAAATTAAAGTATTGGAGACAAAAGAAACTTCCGAACCTTCTGCCCCACCCTCCTACAATCCAGTAGTAAAGAAAGGGGAGTGGGAGGGGGGTGTTGGGCACCGGGTAGGGGATTACGGTAATAACCCTGCTAAAGGTTGGCGTGGGATGATCAAAGATGCAATCGTTACAGTGATTGAATGAACTGAAATTTGATCTTAGAACATCCGTTTTATGGATGTTTTCAGTCCTTCTTAAAGTGAAGGGTTAGACTGTGATGGACTGAGACCGTATGATTCCATATACAACTCATTTAATACATTCTCTCTGTGATACTCATGTACTAGAAGCTGGTAAAAATAAGTATGTCCAGGTTTCTATTGACCTTTGGGGACCTTTATAAATACTGCTGGCTACTTCTTCCAACATAGGCTGGCTGCCTGTGTCGGAATGAGCGTGCATTTTGGTCAGTATAAAAGCCCAAGCCTCATGCAATGTGGGGGAGGCAGAGTCTTTGCGAGGACACCTGCCAGGGTTAAGCCTGCCACCTCGCACTGCCATGATGCTTCTCGGAGCTGGTTTTCCTGTTAGGCTCCACAGGGTCCTTGTGCCACGTTCTGTACGTGGGATTGTGTAGTGGAAGTAATGATTGTTGGGATTTTGTACTTTGAATATTGTAGTTGTGTGGACTGTGCTTGGAGGATCCCATACGTGTGTGTGTGTGTTAAGGGCAGATAATGTTCTGTGTATTTTTTGTTGTTGGGTTCATGTAAAAGTTTCTAATGGGTAGCAGTTTAACATTGCAGGCAAGAAAGGGTTAATGCAAAAGTGTGGTTACCGGTAGATATTTACTGTTGCTGCTGAAGCAGGCAGGCAGCTGTGTAAAGCAGAATGAGCGACTTTGGAAAACTCCTCATTTAACATATCTACTTCTCAAGAACTGATAACCTGGAGGAGGGGGTGTATTTGTGTCCTCCTGCCTACAGGTCCATGGCAACTGCCTGCAAAGTTTGTCAAGCCTTGCCATGATCTAGATGGACAAATGGAGGAAGCCGAGATGCTTCAGCTACAGGAGCTGAATGTGAAAACCCCAAGCAGAATGAGACAGAGGAAGAGAAAACCCAATGATTGCTAAACATTATTTGGGAGCAACTGAAAAGTGACAGCTTGAATATGTGTGTTTGTAAAGTAGTTATTGTTAGAGGCTTTGATTTTGTGTATGAAACCACCTGTATTTACTAGCCAGTTGCTAATAAGAAACTACACCTTGTATTATATGGATTTGCCACGTGTAAAAGAGATGTTAGAGTATGCAAATTTGTAGTAGCTGCTAGAAAATGCTAAAGCAAAAGATAGAAATATTCTAATACAACGGTAGTGTTATAAAAGCAGGTAATGGAACAAATTAAGAGGGCGAGAGAATTCCACTAGTAAGAAATTTCTTTGGCTAGCCCCTTGCTGGCATCAGCATCTTCAACATGCTGCTGCACACTGCAATAGCTACTCTGCTAATGTAAATCTGTGTGTGTGCCTTGCCGTAATAACAACTTAGTATTGGATAAAGCAGGTGAAACTGCATTGACAACAAGGTGCAAGGACTGAGGCTGACCAAATGCCTGCTACCACAACCAAGGGCAAGACTGGGTTGGCCTCTGTGTTTGCCACCAAGAAGAACCTCTAGCTCCGCTGCTGGCTGCAACCCAGCAGGCGTGGAGCGGTGGGGACACATGCCATGCCAGACCTTGATGTGAAGGAAGGCCTCCCCTGTTACCAGAGAGCCATACGTGTTGTATGAACCTCTCAGACCATAGTAACTCTATACACAAAGAGTTGCAACAACTCAAAAACAACTTGCACAAGTTAAAAGAAGGTGAATCTTGAGACCTTACCTCTTGGTTAAGATCACTGGGACTAGGATCATGGCTAAGTAGTATTTTGACCCACTTTTTGCCTGTATGGATCTTGCTTTTACTCATTTTGATTTGTTTGCCTTGCATTATTCAATGTATTCAGCAAAGCCTTATGAGAATTGTAACAAGTATGTTGGAAAAAGAAAAAGGGGGAATTGTGGAAGCGTGGTTAGCAAAGGTCACGTTCCCTTGACTAAGGGACCAGTTCTGTAACGATGGACATAAGAAGCAATCTCAGCTGTTTGGTCTTAGCCGAACTCTGAGGCTTGTACTGGAGTTACTCAGGCTGCAAGGCCTAACCTTAGGTTATTAAGGGTCAGCTACGTGCAGTAGAACAGAGTACTAGTAAGTTGTAAAAGAGACTTGGTAAGTCGCTCAAGGTTAGCAGGATGTAGGAGCAGGATGGTGAAGTTGCAAGAAACACAATAAAAGCAGCAAATGTAACAGGAGGCAGAATTTTCGCGCTCGCTTCTGATCTTCCAAAACTGTGTGTATGCAGCAGTTTAACACTATATATACCCTGGACCTCAGATGAATAAACGGATCACTTTATCAATCATATTGATTGTGCTGTGTTCCCTCCGCATCGCGACGACATAAAGTCTCCAACACAGTATCCTCAAGATTCCTCAAGAATTTGCCTTCAGATTTGTAAGGGTCAAATTTGTATCAACTGCATGTTAAATATTTGTCACAGCATTAGTTTTGGCTGGGGGCAGGTGGGGGGGGAGTTGCATAAAGCAGTCCTCTGATTTCCACCACATTAACTAATTATAACCTGAGCCATTTTACTGGAAGAAATATGCTGGTCCTATCACTGGGAGCAACAAGGAAAGAGTCAAAGAACTGGAAGCAGAAAGGTCCAGATTTCTACTGCTAACATTATTTTGCCCTCTATTCAGGCCAACTGCATTTCTGAAGCACAAGGGTGGAAGTAGAAGACTTAGGGCCATTTCTAGCAAATCAGTTCCAGTAAAAAGTAACTACAAGAAAAGCACACAAGACAACAGAGTTCACAATTAAGGATCAGATTGGCAAGTTTGTGCACAAAGTGTAGCTGCAAATTCTTCCAGAGACCAAACTCTGTTTCCATTTGATCCCTATGGCCACACAAGGACTGCAGACACGACTGCACAAAATCTGGCCCTAACCAAATTTACTAAGCAAACTGAATTAACAGACTATGCCCACACAGACAAGCACAAGACACAGTGAAGTTAGTCAACACCTATACTTCCAGCTGATGGGGCTTTTCTCCTTCGTTTTCGGTGTGCACTACACCCAGAAACTGGACCACTGATAATACTTGTCTCCACTGCTGCTTGTTCTGAGGGATCAGCGCAGGCAGCACGTGTTCACCTCTTCCTCTCAGATGAAAAAGATGCCTTAGAGTAGATCACAGGAATGCATCAAAATAAATCTATACAAAGTATTAAACAGTGATAGAGCTTCAAGGCTTGTAAGAGAACGAAGTAAAGCCTTGAAGGACCAGTTTAACATCATTCACTCCCCTCATATCAAAGTTCAAGGCATTTGAGAGACAGAACTAAACATCAAGAGAAGCTTTAACTATACTCTGGTCAATACAAAACGCATTTAAGGAATTGTCTAAAACTGTCAGACAAGAGGGACAAGTAGTTTAGTGTTACATGCAACAGATGTTACTCATACCACAGAACTCTATACATAAAAGCAGTTTCCACCTACATCCTTGATACAAACCAGAAAATTACTTTAGTAATTTAAATAGTAATTTGTGAATTCAGTCTAAAATGTCTACTTTTCTCTCTATGGAACACTGCATGTTTCACAGTCAAGTTTATCCTCAACAACTTAGTGTTTAGAATCCACCTAGCCAGACAACCTAAGTGGCTCTCTGACATTCATGTTTAAGCAAAAACATCCTAAAATTAGTTAAGCTCATTCTTTCAATAAATGGGTACGCAGTTGGAGTTCTTCATATTTAGAAGCTGACAAGGGTAAAAAGCAGCACAGCACCAATTACAGAACGTAGCTGAACCGATACATTTTGGTGTCACAGAGTCTGAAACACAAGTACTTTACTTTCCCAAATTGCATCATCAACCTTCAATCACATTGATTTAAGTTAACTGAAACAATATTGCTACCACTTCTCAGTCTAAAAACTAAAACAGATCTCTTAATACTCTTCTATCCCCAGCAAGTTTACCTGGGAATTGGTTTGTTTGTTCATTTTTAAAGCAAGGACACTTCTGCCTGCCAAGTTCAACACAAACTATTTGGTTTAGGATTTTAAGACAGAAGGCACTTTTAACATTCAGCCTTAGAATACTGAGTGCAGAAACAACATTTATGATTTTGTTCCTTTGTTTAAATCTGCAGTTTAATTTTGTTTTATTCCCAGTTAGTTATTAGAAAGAGCAATGATAGCACTAGATCATATTTCATTTTCAGGAGCACATTTACTTACTTATCTCACTAAACAGTGTGCCCTTCCAAGGGATCTTATGTATGTCAGGCCTAAAGTTCATTTCCCAATATAGCACAAACCAAAGATCCCGACGAAGATCAATTAAGGAACTGCTTCTTGGTTATCCTGTTCAGTCAGTGGTTTCCACTGCAAATTGCGATTCTATACTGCAGCATTCATATAACATCAAACATAAGTAACACTGGCTGGCTGACCACAGGTTAAAAATGAAACAGCTCTGCATGGAAATTAAGTCCTTCCAAAGAATATTGGTACACCAACCCCCAGTCTGCACATAATATCCTGGTGGCAGCTTTCTATTGACCACATTAAGCTATTTCATTCTATACAGAAATTAATGACATTGTGGTTTAACAAACACACTTCAGGTTTCAGCTTTAATTCCATTTCTTGTTACTGAAGACACGGACAAAAAGGAATGGAACAAAACCCAACCATCATTCTCACGACAGCACTAGCAGCGAGTGCAGCAGCTCAGTGTTCTACATAGGTCACTTCTTCCATCACGTCAGTCGAGTATTAGCTGAACACTCTGACAGCTCCTAGGCTAGCAAAACTGATTGTACAGTGAGTTCTCCAGGGATGAAACCAGTATCTCTAGTTTTATTTACAGTATAAGTCCTAGTCAAATCTAAGTCCATCAGCTAAAAAAAGAAAAGTAATACACATACTGTAAACATGGCAACATTAAATATGGTAAATCCTAGTCTAGACTATTTAATCACATCTTGTTATACCTGAATTTATATACAGGATATTTTATAGCAGGTGTTACCCACTTCACAAGTGGAGGGGGGAAGAGAGTCTAGGTTTTGCTGTGGCTAAAACTCCTTCAAAGTAAAGTTAAAGCTTGTCTTTGATTGTATTAGAGCTTTCTTTCATAACCACATTGAAGATTAGCACAAAGGAAAAACAATTATCTAGGGCCCCTTCAAATTGATAATTAAAAATTCTGTTATGATTCTCTGGGAAAGTGTCTGATATGGAGAATAAAAAATTACTGCAAAATAAACTTAATGGAAGTTGGGTCTTCAGACTGTCAGTCAAGAGTTCAAACAGGCCTTAGTCCTGTTTGGGTTGGAGTTGCCGTTTCCAGGCCTCGTTCAAATAAACTAGTCGTTTGTAGTTGATGATAAAGAGAATGAAGTTCAGCAAATATGTGATGATGCAGACAATGCAAAATTCCTTCAGCACGAAGTACAGAATGTATGCCAAGTACAATGACCCTACTACAGACACTATGGAGGATGTCATGAGGATTAGAGCTGCTACTGCACTTGCTGTCATACCTGCAACAAGAGAGAGGAAGTTACTACCGTTGCTCTCATTCCCCCCCTTCCACACAGAACAAAATGCCTAAGCACTCTTAATTCAAACTGAAGGCTACTCAGCAAGTTGGTATTACACAGAAGTCTGTTTAAAATACCATGAGCTCAAGGTGGCTCCCAAATTGCTATTTGGAGGGGAGCTTCTAGGTTCTGTACAACAGTCCTTTGATAAGAAGTATGTGTATTAACCATCTTCTGTATTGCTGAGTTATGGGGAAGTTACAGGTTGGTCAAGTTATGTCTGTCAACAGCTTTAGAGCAGACCATACAGTTACAAAGAAATATGTAACTATTACATTTCATGCACTTTTCCCCCATCCCTATTACTACTGCAAAACTTGTGAATCCCATTTTTATTTCCTCTCTTTTCTGTCATGCAAGACAATACTAAATACACTGAAGTGAAAATACCAGTGCAGCGACTGTCTTGATGCTTATATTAATAGTATAACAGGAGAAAAATGCAATTGCTTTGGTTATCTGTGGAGCAATGGCTATTCTCACGAGGGCCTGCACAACCCAGGATTAGAGCCGAGTGAGACAGCCTTGAACTCTCTCTGACTCAGCTGAGCTGGGGAGGCCTGGAGTCGAAGAAATGTAAGCAGAACGCTGCAACAGGAGCTTGCTGGCCACAAGGAATGCACCGCTTATCACAGGGCATGCACCCTGCTGTTGTAGAGATATGTGTGTAAGACTTAGCTTAGCCAATAGCAATGTACAGACAGGCGTGTGAACAGGTTTATGTAGCCAATGAAAGATGTACAGCTGTCACGTAAACTATCACCAATGGTATAAATTAGGTGAGCCTGTGCAATAAATGGAACAAGAAGCGTAACTCATATTGAGATTGTCTTCTTGATTCGGGTCGCTCCTCCGACAGTTATCAGTTGGGGTTTTAAGCCCTTTGGAGAGATGTGTCATTAGACTGGTGTTAAAAAAGATAAAAACCACATGCATTTGTCTGGTCTCCTGCAGATTACACAATGTGTAATACACTCATCACCACAGAGCTTTACTTTAGCCTCAAAACTGAATTAATACTTACCAAGTAGCATTTGTAGTATATAAAACACGAGTCCGAAAACACTGTTTGACAGATTTATTGCACTGTCCTTTCCAAAGATGGAACCCAACAGACCGAATCCTCGACCCCATCTGTAAAACAGTGAAACTAATTAACTCGTATTCAGGTACCTGTTGCTTTACATCAGTATTTTCAGTTCATCACTGTTGAGGAATCAAGAAAACCCAGCCTTCCCCCATATATTCTGACATGACAACCACAGTCCTATACAAAGTTCAGAGTTATCCTGGAAAACCAAGCAGCTTGCAACACAGGGTGCACTACATAGAACTGTATCCTGCACGCTGCTGGCCAAAGTTATTTGACACACCAGAAACTACCAAAATCACACAGCTGCAACTTCACCAAATGCCATGTCTGCTGCTTAGGGTTGGTAAAGCTCTTTCATCAGATAAACACTTCCTTCCTCCAACAACAGCCTTAGCAGTTCATTCCATCATAGTAAGTTGGACACTGCTCACTATACAGCTGAGGGAAAATAGTACAACTTGGTAACTAGTTGTTACCACTCTACCAGCACTCCCCTAACTGGCCCCAGACCAAGTAAAGCAGAGTATGTGTTTGCATTTAGCTGTTCCTGATCAGCCTAACACCTTAGGAGGAACCCAAATCTGTCAAGCAGACAAGCTGGAGATGGTACCATACAGGATGCACAGACCTCATTTGTCAGTGCCCTGGCACAGAGTGACATCTTGAACTAGTACCTTAACCACAAAGTGACTTTCAACCTCTTAGTGATAAGACAGAAAGTGACACAAGCCCTATGAAACTGCTGCAGCAGGAAGGGGATAAGAGATTAAATGAGCAGATGTACAAGAAACCATTAATTCAATGCCCTAAGGCAGATCATGCCATTATTTGTTAAAAGCAAAGAGGACTGTATTTATTAGTGCTTCACCATGCAACTGAACTCATTTACAAGAGAATGTTAGGATATCTGCCAGCACATCTCTGGAGCACCAAGTTAAGTACTGCATAAAAGGCTAGGTTCACATTATCAGGTGAACTGTCAGGCATCTATGTAAATAAAAGCACAATCCCTGTCGTTGGAGCAGCGAACACCAGCGTGCTTCATGTATGCTCACACAAGCGCCATTCCCAAATAGCTTCTTGTACTAGTTGGAGGCAACAGCTCTAAACCAAGACATAGCACAGGTTTGCTCTCTGCACGCGACAGGAATGTTGCCGACATACTTTGCCATGCATCTGAGACCAGTGAAAGGCTACCACCACATTACGAGCAGTTTCCTCACATGAAAAAGGTACCATAGGTAGTACAATTCAAGATAGCCTCCAAAACACTCCATAATCTCACAGCCATTAGCAGAGTGTTTTCAAAACATATTCAAATCAATCATTTTAGTTCAACCGTAGTAATTGTCTGGAATTAACTGTGACACCCAAGTCTTGTGCTCTTCTCACCAAAAGAGCAGAAACTTCACCCCTAGAAAGCATGTTTACTGCATAAACAGTAAAAAACCAAACCTCCTTTCAACCAGTTTGGTCTCAAATCTCGTAACTGACTGAAGCGAAACCTCTGTGCGAATATAAAGCTTTACACCAGCACAGAGAAGACTGACACTGCTTTACCACAGGACAATGTCTTGTATCCCAGAGCCTCTAAGGCTCAGAAAGACACCAGGTCAATTGCTGGGGTGAGCAGTGTTGTGTGGCCTTGCTCCCTGCAGCCATCCCAGTGGAAGTCTGGGGCTGCACAAAGCTGAGTGCGCATCCTCCCTCCAGTATACGATGGCAAACAGTCCTGCTTAGCATCTAGTGTAGCTTATAGGTGAAGCAGCGTCAAGGATGGATACCAAAGGTCTGAGAAAGCAGCTGTAGAGATGCAAGTGCAGCACTTGACAGCCATGCTTCCAAGAGGGAGGGATTTCAAAGCAGACCAAACACCATGCAACAACAGATAAGCAAACATCATAAGGAAATATGCAAGTTCCAAAGAATCTTTGGTATGACAAGACTTTCCTCCCACACACTGAAGGTTATCTGGATCTTCAGTGAGAACCTTGATAAGATGGACACAGCACATGACAACTGTCTCATGTGTCCAGCTACCAAACACAGTATTAAGGAGCCATATACATTAAAGGCATCATCACTTTGCACTGACTGCTCTGTTTTCACTGTTCTGGATTACCACATTTATAGGTGCTTCAGTTTACTATCCACAGGTGCAATTTCTTGTTGTCTCCAAGTGAGAATTCTCTGCAGGGTGACTTTAAACCCTATTTGAACACACTCAGGCTTTCCCTATTGAGAGACTAAACAGCAGAACACAAAGTGTTCTTTGACAACCATGCCAAGTGCAAGGTCCTACACCTGGGTCAGAGCAATCCCAGGCACAGCTACAGGTTGGGCAGAGAAGAGATTCAGAGCAGCCCTGCGGAGAAGGACTTGGGGGTGCTGGTTGATGAGAAAATGAACATGAGCCGGCTTCAGTGTGCGCTTGCAGCCCAGAAAGCAACCGTATCCTGGGCTGCATCAAAAGGAGCGTGACCAGCAGGTCGAAGGAGGTGATCCTGCCCCTTTATTCTGCTCTCGTGAGACCTCGCTTGGAGTATTGTGTGCAGTTCTGGTGTCCTCAACATAAAAAGGACATGGAACTGTTGGAATAAGTCCAGAGGAGGGCCACAAGGATGATCAGGGGGAGCACCTCCTTTATGAAGACAGGCTGAGAAAGTTGGGGCTGTTCAGCCTGGAGAAGAGAAGGCTGCATGGAGACCTCATAGCAGCCTTCCAGTATCTGAAGGGGGCCTATAGGGATGCTGGGGAGGGACTCTTCATTAGGGACTGTAGTGACAGGACAAGGGGGAAGTTTAGATTGGATGTAAGGAAGATGTTCTTTACTGTAAGGGTGGTGAGGCACTGGAATGGGTTGCCCAGCGAAGTTGTCAATGCTCCATTCTTGCAGTGTTCAAGGCCAGGCTGGACAGAGCCTTGGGTGCCATGATTTAGTGTGAGGTGTCCCTGCCCATGGCAGGGGGGTTGGAACTGAATAATCTTAAGGTCTCTTCCAACCCTAACTATTCTATGATTCTAAGTGTGCCTGAGTCTGTGGATCACATTAGCCAAGCTCAAAGTAACTGCAGGATGCAGAATTCCTACCCTCTCCCTGCTCTAGCTGTGTGCTTTCACCTCTACTGTGTGCTCTCACCTTTACTGTGTGCTCATGAGATCCTGTTGTGTTCAAGAGCAAACTCAAGCTTAAAACATCAGAAACTTCAGACTGTAGAATGTGAGCCTTCAGTTATTCTAGAAGTGAATAAAATGCTGCTAATGGAAAGATAATGAGTTTGAGCCCTTCCTGTGGTCAGGGTCCCCAAGTGAACTGCTCACGCTGCAAGAAGGTCAGAGCATGGTGAAAGCTTTCTGCACATGCAATAGCTCATTAAGTATCTCGTTGGCTTTGCAGCAGTGTTAAGAACATGGAGTATTAAATTTCAGTCCACGAAGTACACCAGCTCTGATCTCACATCTTATTCCACACACTTGAAGACAGTCAAGAAGCCTGTGGGGTTTGAGAGGAAGCACTTTTTCCAACCTTACAAGGTTTGAAGTGGAAGTTTTCTGCATCAATCTGAAAAGCAAAATATTTAGACTTTGTGTATTTCCATCTAATTTCTTTCCTGAAGAGGCTAAATCATCTCCTAATTCTGTCAAGGAGGTCCCCAAACCCACTTGGCACAACAAGCCAAGTACTTTGCAAGCAATTGGAGGAACACTGAGTACACGAATCTTCCTTCTCCCACCTAAATCATGCAAATCACACCCAAGTTGTAACTGTAAGTCTAAACACATGGCAAAGAAATAGCAAGACTGCAGTCCTAACCACAAATTCCAAGTAAAAGATTAGTAAAAAGGACTAGAAACAGCTCAGAAGTTCTTGTGTATCTCACAAGGATTATGATTTACAAGACCTATTGTTAATTGGGATCAGTTCGCTGGCTACAGAATGCCAAGTAAAACAAACTGCACCAATTCAAGAGCTGCCTCCACAGCAAGACGAAAGCTTAGTCCAACACCGCTTTTTCCTGGTACTGACTTTGGCTCCCTGTCCCTTTCAAGGGCTCTGTTGTGAAACTCTTGCTGAAGCCACCCTTGTGTGATTCAGAGCACTATGACAACACACGTGGCAAGAATAATTCTGCCGCACCCCAGTTGCACTCCTAGTAAGAAAAAAGCACACTAACTACAAGGAAGTTTTAAAGTAAACCTTTGAGCCATCTTCCTGCACGTCTGAAGTAACTCCATTCCCATCTGTTCAAGATGACACTCCCCATGTGCAGGTACAGCCTGGAAAATGCTTTACAAACGCTTCAAGAAATCCAAGGCAAAGTGTTCGTGCAGTTTCCCAATGCCTAAAATTGAGTACTATTACTGTACTATTAGCTACACTGGAGTCAGTGACTTCTAGTCCAGTGTGCATCTCACTCCATCAAGAGGAGGAAATAACACTGAAAATGATTATCCAGCCACTAAACAGTGTCCCTTTTGGGCTGTGCTATTTAACCAAAATCAGGAACATTGTGTTCTCAGAAGTTTCAAGCAGCATTTACATTTACTTGTTAATAGAAAGAACTAAGGTCATTTTGGTCCACAAGTGCCATCTCTCAAATAAAATGATACTCTGTTAAAGCACCACCTCCTCTGCATGATTATGAACATTCTCCATGTTCCAGAACAACAGATTGTGGGAGTACACTTAAACTAAACATATTACTGTAATTTAGCAGAGACAATACCACTAGCAGAAAGGCAACCAAAAGAAGTACACAGTCTCTTGGTCATTTTAAAGAACAAGTAAACAAGCTTCGTCTTTAAGTTAAAAGCTGTAACTTACCAGTCTTAGCTCAAAAAAGCAACAGAATTCCAAGCCTGCCAAACACAGCAAGTCAAACAAGCAAAGTATATATGTAGCCATGAGTCAGATTATTGTCTCATCCTCGCTCTGTAAGAAATGCTATACTGTTTGCTCTAGCCAACCACTTCAGTGCTTACAGTTACCTGCAGGAGATGTTTTTAAGGGCTTTTACAAAGAGACCAATCCCCAAGATGC